TTGTTTTATTTTAAAAAGGTAAGTATAATAAAAAGATTTTAATAATAAAAAAATCAAATACCAAATAAAAATGTACACTTTGACTTATTTGATTATATTTGGTATTTGATTATACCAAATATATTCTTATTTAGTATATACATTAAATACTTACTAAAGTATTTATTTGTTTTATTTGTCAAAGTTAAGTATAGATTTGTTTATATTATCAAATCATAAAAAAAAATATTAAATCCATATTGTAAAAAAAAATCATATAATTTTATAACAATTCTACTACACTATTTAACAATATTTCTTTTTTATTATGTAATAAAATAATAATTAAATATTATATGGTGAACAAAAATAAGTAAAACTATTACTTTCTCTTATATCAAGGGATAAATTTATATGCTAAAATTAAATTTTTATGAGTATAAATGTTTTAGTGAGATAATATATTAATTATCTTACAAGCTAGCCCTAACATGCTCATATTTAATGTTTTAAAAGATATAGAAAAAAAACTTATAATAACTCTATTGTTTTTTAGACTTAAACGTTGATTAAAGAAGTAAAAATTCCTAATTTTTTAAACTTAAATGTTGGTTAACACCATAGATTGAGAGTTTATATTTAGTAAATTCCTAATTGTAATAAAAAATTAATTTTTGCTATATTTTAGAATATCTTTAAATTCATTAAAAAAAAAAAGAAAAATAACTACAATGAAAAAGCAAGTCAGCTATATATCGATTTGTTGTACTCCTCAAATCACATTCACAATTTGGCTACAAGGAAAGGAAACTCATTGATCTAAAATATTATTTTGTCAGTAGTCTTAATGTACAAGAAACTTTAAGACTCCACTTGAATATTATAAAACTTTTATTGAACATTGTACAATTTTCGTGTGTATTATAAACTTTTATTGAATATTGCATCTTATAATATAATATTCTCCAAATAAATATATCTCGTGCTTGGCACGGGTCACGTACTATATATATCCCGTACATTTTTCTTTATTCATGTATATAATTATAAGCCTTGATAAATAACCTTAAAATTAAAATTGTGCACCCCGTGCATCGCACGGGCTCTGTACTAGTATTTAGAAAAAGGTATGTAAGCTTATCTATACTTATATAATAAGAATTAACATTTATCCAAAATAGTAGGTCAAATTATGGTCAATGTCCGATTTGCATTAAATATTTTCCAAAAGTGGTAAGTTTTTGTCTTTTTTCACACTTCTCATTAATTATGTCTTTTTTACACTTCTCATTAATTATGTCCTTTTCACACTTCTCATTAATTATGTCATTTTTACACATCTAATTAATTCATTAATTACGACATAATTATCATAAATCATTCCATCTGAGTTTTTATTGTTAAAATGTATAGCGATCTGTTATGACCTTATCCCATTGATATTTCCATGAAGCGTCCTTATCGCGTTCTATTTTTTGGTAACCACTCTATATCAATAATCGGATATTTGGTTAATGATAGCACACGTATTTATTTCAAGGAGCGGATATTCTTTGACCTTTAACTAATCCGAACTGATTGCCTTGACTTTTCAATTTTTAAACACTCTTTTTTTAAATATTTTGGCTTAAGATTCGGATTTTATTATACAAGTCATCGGATTGTTTGAATGAAAATTAATGAAAATAACACCAAAAACAGGCAGCCTTATTCATATAACCAATCCTAAAATATTAGTTTTTTCACAAAAAAGAGATAAATCCTAGAAATCCTAAAATATTAGTTTGTTCACCAATCCTAAAATATTAGTTTTTCATAAAAAATATTAGTTTGATTTTTAGGATTTGTCTCTTTTGAAAATATTAGTTTGTGATAATGAGGAGTTACCAAATAATCAAACTCATAATGTTGTGTACAAGGATGTTTTTAATAATATATGATTGTTATCAAACTTTTGATTCAACAATGTTCCTATGTATTTTAATGATTTCAATTTCGATTCTAATGCACATGAGGTTATATTATTCTTCCAAATTTTACATCCCGTGCATGGCACGATTACGTACTAGTTATAGTTAGATGTGCCCAACAAAATATCTAATGATAATTAATTAGTCACAAACCAGCTAACATCGAAGTAGTTGAATACACAATCCAATTTTTACCCACAGAAAAAAATTATAAAATAGAAAATTCAAACCCAAACACACATAAAATAAAGTTTTTTTGTTTGTTTGTTTTTTTCGAAGTGTTTTCCTCGTTCAAGGAGAACCAAAAGTCGGTATAAAAATCCCAGCATACCTCAAATACTGATTCACCCTGCGAGAGCTCGATTTGATCCCACCTTCTTCATTCAATTCTAGGGTTTGTCGTTCGATTTCTTTCTTATTGGTTTTCTCGTATTCAAAGATTTCCGATTTTTGTCCGGACGCAAACCCTCGGATTGTTCTGAAATTACAAAGGGATGTTGGGCTTGAATTTGTCGGACGAGCTGCTGGGGACCGTGGCGCCGATAATCGTTTACTGGGTGTATTCAGGATTGTACGTACTACTGGGCTCGCTTGATAATTACAGGCTGCACACGAGGAAGGACGAAGATGAGAAGAATTTGGTCTCAAAGAGGGAGGTAATCAAAGGGGTGCTCCTTCAGCAGGCGGTTCAGGCTGTTGTGGCCACAATACTCTTTGCTGTAAGCTTTTTCCCTTTGTTTTTTTTTTTTGCTTGCTAGATTTTAATTCTCGTTTGTTTGTAAAGTTGACTTTTTGTGGGCTTTGTGGATGCATCTGTGCGCATGTTTTGGTTATGGATGTGTTGTTTTTGTTTTTTGAGGGTATGGGCATATGGGTTTTTGTGTATGTGTGTTGGTTTTATTTTATTGTGGTTTTTGAGAAATTTTTGTGATACCTTTGGCAGTTGTGCTTGATCAAGTGGGTGATGCGTGTAGTATAAGAGGTTGTGTCATTTTGTGTTCACTAGTTGGTGGTAATGTATCCCGTTGGAAGTGAATTGGTATTCGAATCTGTCTATAATGACATGTGGCTTTCATGGTTTGCTTCTTATCTAGTCTCCAGAAGCCCTTGTGGGTTTTTGTGTACGTGTGTTGGTTTTACTTTCGTGGTGGTTTTTTGAGAAAAATTGCCAGATTACCTTTGGCAGTTGTGATTGATCAAGGGGATGATGCGTGTCTTTTCATTTTCACTAGTGGGTGGTATAGTATCTCGTTCGAAGTAATTTCGTATTAAAATATGTCTACAGTGACATTTGGCTTCATGGTATGCTTCTTGTCTGAGTCTTCAGAAGCCTTGAATAAATTGGACAGTAAAAAAAAGGTCTTGCTCAATTGCATTGTCTTCTTTTTCTTTTTTCTTTTTCCTGGAGTAAAGGAGGTGATGAAAGGTTCTAGTCTCTGTGTGTAATCTTTAGGATTCTGTTTCTACGTTAAAACCTCTTAATTTGATGTCAATAGATGTGATCTAAACACTGTGAGCTCTGTTTAGAAATTGCTTTATAAGCAATTTCCAAAATGCAAAAGTCTGTTTGGCTTCAGTAATGTGATCTTGAAATCCCACAAAGTTGTTGCACGTTTTAGAATTAGATATCACAATATCAGCTGGAAAATACTCTCGTGTGATCATGCTGATACTTGGGACATGGAAACTTCCTGTTGTTACCAGCAAAGTTGGTAATACGCAGCAAGTGTTCTTTACAGATTCTGGAATTTGGCTACTATTAGCGGACTGTACACTTGTTAGGACAAAATGCCATGTACTTTTTTATGATTTAGTTAATAAATTTTGTTCATTTGTCGTGTTCTGTACGATTCTTGGTCCCGCTGTTTTTTGTTTTTGCTGCAGACATGGATACGTCAAATGCCTTACCTTTATGGAAATTACTATTTTTTAATACTCTGGTTTTGCAATTAATGTTCACAAATGTTTGGGATATTTTCGCACAATAAAGCCTTGGGCGCCAACTGTGCTTGACTTACCTTTTTTAAGGTTAACACGACTAATGGTTTCTCTTTTCTTCCAAGTCCTTTTTTGCTGCTTTGCATGTTAATGCGAACACGTGCTGATGAAACTGTGATTGTACTTTGTAGTAGTACTCGCTGATCAGCTTTTTTCTGCATAGTCATTATTCTTAATGATTGTTCAACTCATTTTTCTCTTATGTTGTTGATTACTTCCAGTTTCATATCAGCATATGCAATATGATCAACTAAATCGTAACATAACCAACTTGTCATGCTGTAAGTTGATTTGGTTAATCGTAATATATTAGAAACGATAGTTTTTTTCTTGAAGATTGCTTTCTTATCACAATATGGATCTCTTGTTAACATGCTTCTCGGTTTTAATAAAATCATAGAAAAAGATATACCAAGACCTGGTTGTATTTTGTCTAACTTGGGTCCTCTGAAAATTTTCTTATTTGTGCTTTGGTTTTGGCCCATCGCCCACAGAATCTTGTCACTTGTGATATTAACATAAAATGTATCATTCGTCTTTTTATATTTACAGTTTTTGTGACAAGTNCAAAGTTTTAGTAAACACGCATGTCATGTTGTGCCATGCAGTGCGTTTATGCTTTATTCGACATCTCGAGATTTGATTATCCTGACTTAGCATTACATGCTTATATTCTGAAACTAAGGCTATGTTTGTTAACCAAATAAGCTAGCTTATAAGCTTTTTGTATCCAAATAAGTATCGTTTGGTAGGGAACTTATCTTATAAGCTTGTTTGGGTAGCTTTTCAAATAAGCTTTAAAATTTTTATTACAAGAGCTAATTTTACTTGATACGTTTATCATTTAAGCTAACTTTTCAGCTGCAGATCATAAGCTATAAACTCGAAAATCACTTATAAGCTATAAGTCAGTTTATCAGCCAATTTAGCCAATTTTACCAAACACAGCCTAAGTTTGGAGGTATCTATTTTGGTTACTACCATTTGACTCTTAAGGTTGAGTGATAGCGACTCAAATATTTCATCATTTTCATCATAATATTCTTTACACTCAAAAAAGGTATACAAATTCACTCACCTATTAACATTTTCAGGTCACAAGCCCCGACTCAAACCACCCGACTCAACAACAAAACCCGCCTTCAACTTCCCTACTTGTACTCGCCCGCCAATTCCTCGTGGCCATGATGGTCCTCGACACGTGGCAGTACTTCATGCATCGATACATGCACCACAACAAGTTGTTGTACCGCCACATACACTCTCAACACCATCGACTAGTTGTACCTTACGCATTCGGCGCGCTCTACAACCACCCGATCGAGGGCCTCCTTCTCGACACTTGCGGTGGGGCCCTCGCCTTTCTGGTCTCGGGAATGTCCCCACGAGCCTCGATTTTCTTCTTCTCCTTCGCGACTCTAAAGACGGTAGACGACCATTGTGGGTTGTGGCTTCCCGGGAACTTCTTCCACTTCTTGTTTAGTAATAACTCGGCGTACCACGATATTCACCACCAGCTTTATGGGAATAAGTATAATTTTTCGCAGCCTTTTTTCGTGATGTGGGATCGGATATTGGGGACTTACATGCCGTATTCTCTCGAGAGGAGGGGTAAGGGCGGGTTTGAGGCCCGGCCCACTAAGGAGTGCGCGAGGAAGAACGAGTGAGAGTGAGGGTTTGTTTGTTCGGTGGCTATGTGTGTGTGTGTGTGCCTGTAGAAGAGTGGTGTTGTGTACTTTGTGTGTATCATTTTCCTAAGTTACCTCTTCTTGATATGAGCATTCTTACAGGAATGATGCAAGTTGGAAGGTTTTTTTTTTTTCAAGGCTGGTTATTGTTGTTTTCCTTTCATGTTCACTTAATATTATTATTGCATCATTTTTTATTTTTTTTTTGTGAGGATGGTTAGAGGATTGAGATTTCCTGTTTTAAAGTCATGTTAACTAATGTTTCTTTTCATTCTATTGAATAAATGACGACCATTTATTAGTTTCTTTAGTCAGCCTTTAACATCTCGTTAACATAGTACTGGTACAACATACAGATAGTTGCATCTCTTCAACAATACTTGTTAAATACAATAGTACTAAGCAGTAAACAAGTGGAATTGAGTTTGAGGCCTAAAAGAGGCGAACTCGGCTTTTTAACTACATTAGTTAGTAAACGAATATGAGTTCGACTCATTTATCATAATTAACGAGTTGAATTTAAGTCTTAACAAGCTAATTTGTAAAAAATTATATTGCATTCTTCTTTTGAGCCTTAACAAGCCCAACGAAGTTTGCTCCGAATAGGCCTATTTTGAGAAATGACTCGTCGAGGTTGGTCTTTACAATCTTACTCGGTAAAAGTAATTTATACTTCAACAAATTGGCACTTGCCGATAACGTGACTTGTCTTTTTTAATTTGCAGATAATATTGGCGTTATTGTAATTAATTAAAATAATATCCATCCAATTATTTTTTCCAAACATATAATTAGAAAAGAATTTGAATATGACTAGCAATATCTCACCTAACAGCCATAATTTCAATGGTATAGCCCCATCCTGAGCCGAAAAATAATCCAATGTTATATCAAAAAAACAAAATATATGTTTGTATATAAGAAAATTTCTAAAAAATTTCAACATTGTAATTCAACTACTTCCTTTTAACTCAAAAACAAAATATATGTTTGTATACAAGAATTAATTTGGTTTGAGTTTTCCTTTAACAAACACAGAACTGTTCAGAAAATAAAAAACATGTACGTACGTCTTCCTCGCATCATCCAAATGAGTTTTCGCGCCAAATTTGTCCCCCATGCCAGTAACCAGCTCCGGCGACCTCAAAACCTAATCAGCCGTCTCTTGCTCCTTCTCGAACGCTGCAAATCGTCCAGATCAGTGCAGCAGATTCACGCCCAGATGCTCGTTCGCTCCATAGCGATGCCCATGCCCAATTACATCCTCTCCAAACTCATCGACCTCAAGGACTTGAGCTACTCCACTCTTTTCTTCCCCCAAATCCCCCTCAACAGCTACGCCTTCAACGTGATGATCAGAGGGTTAGCCACTGCGTGGCAGAAATTCGACCTTGCCTTACAATTACTCGTCGAGATGAAATCGCTTGGCGTGAATCCGGACAATTTCACGTACCCGTTCATTTTCAAATCCTGCGGGAACATTTCAGCCCTGAGAATGGGGGAAACCGTCCATTCCGAGGTTGTGAAATCTGGGCTGCGATCGGATTTCCACGTGGTTCATTCTTTGATCACGATGTACTCGCGCTGCAGAGAGATGGATTGTGCTCGGAACTTGTTCGATGAAATGACTGATCGGGACATGGTTTCGTGGAACTCGATAATATCGGGATACTCGAGGTTAGGGTTTGCACGGAAGGCTGTCGAAATGTTTCGGGAGATGAGGGAGGACGGATTTGAACCTGATGAGATGACGCTCGTGAGCGTGCTTGCTGCCTGTGGGGATTTGGGGGACCTCAGCTTGGGAAGATGGATTGAGGGGTATGTTGCTGAGCAACAGTTCGAGTGTAATTCATATATTGGTTCTGCTTTGATTAATATGTACGGGAAATGTGGGGAACTAGAGTCTGCACGAAGGGTGTTTGATAGCATGAAAAGGAAAGAGCTAGTCATTTGGAATTCCCTAATTACTGGGTAAGTATATTTCTCCATGCAGCATTAGCTTGTTTATATATTTATTGTTAACCACATTTCATAATACAGGTTCTTGCATGTGTTACTTTTTCTACGTTTCTGATGGTTTGATTTTGGGTTTATTGTGAAAACAGATACTCGCAAAATGGACAGTCGGATGAAACTCTGAAATTATTCAATGACATGATGGAGACGGGACCTGAACCTAATGAAGTCACACTGATTGCGGTTCTATCTGCTTGTGCGTCAGTTGGAGCTCTTGATACTGGGAAATGGATCGATGAATATGCGTTCAAAAGAGGGTTGCAGCGTAACATTTATGTAGCTACTGCTCTAGTCGACATGTATTCGAAATGTGGGAATTTGGAACACGCGTCACGCGTGTTTGAATGTATGCCTCTTAGAAACCAGGTTTCTTGGAATGCAATGATATCTGGACTTGCTTTTCATGGGCATGCACAGGAATCGCTCGCCTTATTTCAACGCATGTTGGATGAGGAAAAGGTTTTGTGTCCGGATGATATCACTTTTGTCGGGGTTCTTTCTGCATGTGTTCATGCAGGTTTGGTGGATGAAGGTCGTAGATTGTTTAATATGATGAGCTCATTGTTTGGGCTAACACCAAAAGTCGCGCACTACTCTTGCATGGTTGATCTTCTATCCCGTGCCGGACGGATTTATGAATCTTGGGACTTTATTCAGAAAATGCCACAGAAACCGGACGAGATTTTATTAGGGGCTTTGCTGGGTGCCTGCCAGAAGCTAAAAAACGTGGATATTGGTGAAAAGGCCATGGAACTTCTGTTAGAATTGGAACCTTCAAATTCTGGCAACTATATAATCTCATCAAAAATATATGCTGATATGAGGAGGTGGGACGATTGTGCTAGAATGAGATTGTTAATGAAACAGAAGGGTGTAACTAAGACCCCAGGATGTAGCTGGATCGAGATGGATGGCCATCTTCATGAATTTCATGCTGGTTGTTTGTTAGTTGAAGATGGAGATGAGATTCACAAGATTCTTGACTTGGTATATGAAGACATGACGATGGAAGATAGCACACATTTAGATTCTTAATACATAAGGTAATGTAGAAAGCACTGTAGCTTATGGTTCTCATCATTTTAATTCTTCCACTTACATTCCTTGTATCTATAAGTAGCTGGCGAAATACTTCCAGCAGAAGATGAGAAGATAAACCTTGGCTAACTTGTTAACAAAGTTTTTTTCTTGGTGTTCAAGTTGGAAGATATATAACAATCTGAAGATGAAATGTTTAAAGAGGGAGGTCATCAAAGGGGTGCTCCTTCAGCAGGCGGTTCAGGCTGTTGTGGCCACAATACTCTTTGCTGTAAGCTTTTTCCCTTTGTTTTTTTTTTTTTTTTTTTAGATTTTNCTTCTTTCTTGGGCTTTGTGGATGCATCTGTGTTGTATGTTTTGGCTGTGGATGTGTTGTTTTATTGTCTGAGGGGATGGGCATATGGGTTTTTGTGTATGTGTTGGTTTTATTTTCGTGTGGTTTTTGGAAAATTTGCGTGATACCTTTGGCAGTTGTGCTTGATTGAGGGGGTGATGCGTGTAGTAAAAGAGGTTATGTCGTTTTTTGTTCACTACTAGGAAGTATGGTTTCCTGTTCGAAGTGAATTGGTATTCGAATCTGTCTATAGTGACATGTGGCTTTCATGGTTTGCTTCTTATCGACTATCGAATCTCCAGAAGCCCTTATGGGTTTTTTTTTTTGTGTATGTGTGTTGGTTTTACTTATGTGTGGTATTTGAAAACTTTACGTGATTACCTTTGGCAGTTGTGACTGATCATGGGGATGATGCGTGTAGTATCAGAGATTGTGTCTTTTCGAGTTCACTATTGGGCGGTATGGTATCTTGTCCGAAGTGAACTCGTATTCAAATCTGTCTATAGTGACATGTGGCCTCATGGTATGCTTCTTGTCTGAGTCTGCAAAAGCCTTGAATATTTGGACAGTAAAAAAAAGGTCCTGCTCAATTGGGTTGTCTTCTTTTTTCTCTTTCCTTTTTTTTTTTCTCTGGATTAAAGGAGGGGATGATAAGGTTGTACTCTAATCTGTAGGATTCTTTGTCTACGTTAAAATCCCTACCTTGATTTGATGTCGATAGACGTGATCTAGACATTGTGAGCTCTGTTTGGAAATCGTCTTTATAAGCAATTTCCAAAGTGCAAAAAGTTGTTTGGCTTCAGTAATGTGATCTCGAAATCCCACGTAAAGTTGTTGGCCGTTTTAGAATTAGATATTAAGATATCAGCTGGAAAATACCCTTGTGTGATCTAGCTGATACTTGGAACATAGAAACTTCCTGCAAAGTTGGTAATTTGCAGAAAGTTTTCTTTACAAATTCTGGAATTTGGCTACTATTAGGGGACTGAACACTTGTTAGGACTTAAAGCCATGTACTTTTTTTATGCTTTAGTCAATAAATTTTGTTCATTTGTCGTGTTCTGTGCGGTTCTTAGTCCCGCTGTTTTCTGTTTTGCTGCCGACATGGATACGTCAAATGCCTTACCTTTATGGAAATTTCTAATTTTTAATACTTTGGTTTGGCAATTAATGTTCACAAAATTTTGGGATGTTTTCGCACAATAAAGCCTTGGGCAAGAAAATTGCCAACTCTGCTTGACCTACCTTTTTTAAGGTTAATGGTTTCTCTTTTCTTCTAAGTCCTTTTTGCTGCTTTGCATGTTAATGCTAACGCGTGCCAATGAAAATGTGATTGTACTTTATTAATGTCCTCGCTGATCAGCTTTTTTCTGCATAGTCATTATTCTTAATGGTTCTTCAACTCATTTTTTTTCCTCATGTTGTTGATTACTTCCAGTTGCATATCAGCATAAGCAATATGATTAACTAAATTGTAGTTAATCTTGATATTAATAGAAACATAGTTTTTTTTCGAAGATTGCCTTCTTATCACAATCTGGATTGCTTGTTAACACGCTTCTGGGTTTTTATTTTAGTCATATAATCACAGAAAAAGATATAACATTACCTGCTTGTATTTTGTCTAACAGAAAAAAAGACTGAAGGCTACTCATGTAGAATCTGTCTGTTGCCAGCTTGCCTCTTGTAATATTAACATAAAATGTGTCATTCGTCTGTTTATATTTACAGTTTTTGCCGCAATTTTGAAAAAGAAAAAAAAAAAAAGATTGAACTGAAGTTTTTCGCAGCCTCCTTCTCGACACTTGCTGTGGGGCCCNATCTCTAGTGTTTTTCTCTGTTTTGTTTATCCCCTTTCCAGAGTATATATCATATATGTATACTGGGGTGGGATGAGATGAGATGACCTTTTTGAGTTTTTTTTTCCCCATAAGTTACCTCTTCTTGATATAAGCATTCTTAAGGAATGATGCAAGTTGGAAGGTTTTTTTTTCCAAGGCTGGTTATTGTTATTTTCCTTTCATGTTCACTTATTATTGCATCACTTTTTTGTGAGGATGGGTGTTAGAGGAATGAGATTTCCTATTTTAAAGTCATGTTAACTAATGTTTCGTTTCATTCTATTGAATAAATGACGACCATGTAGTTTCTTTAGTCAGCCTTTCACATCTCGTTAACATAATACTATGTTTCGTTAACATAGTTGCTCTCTTGAACAATACTTTACTTGTTAAATACGATAGTACTAAACAGTAAACAAGTGGAATCGAGTTTGAGGCCTAAAAGAGGCGAACTCGACTCCTTAACTACATGAGACTCCTTAACTACATGAGTTAGTAATCGAATCCGAACTTGGCTCATTTACCATAATTAACGAGTCGAATTCAAGTCTTAACAAGTTGATTTGTAGAAAATTTTATAACATTCTCCTTTTGAGCCTTAACAAGCTGAACGAAGTTTGCTCCGAATAACCCTCTTTGAGAACTGACCCGAGGTTGGTCTTTACAATCTTACTTGGTAAAAATAATTTATACTTCAACAAATTGACATCGTTGCCAATAAAGTGATCTATCTTTTCGAACATGCAGATAATAGGGCGTTATTGTAATTAATTAAAATAATATCCATCCAATTATTTTTCCAAACACATAATTAGAAAATAATTTGAATTTACTAGCAATATCTCATCTAACAACCATAAATTAAACGGTATAGCCCTATCGCGAGCCGAAAAATAATCCAATATTATATCAAAAAATAAACTAGCCCAATAAAGTTTTTTTTTTCCCAATTAAAAATAAATAAATAAATAATAAATGTAAAAAACTGGTTAACGGATTTAGGGCCCAAGTGCTCTTCAGAATCCAAATTGAAGCAAAAAAAAACGATGGGAGATAAGGAAATAGGAAACATGGAGAGTAACGTAGAGGATGGCGACCTTGAATACACCACCGACAGCGACAGCGAGAGCGACTGGTTAGACGATATTGAACACGGTAATTCGCCCGAATTTCAGCTGTCCAGAAGCACATGCGGCTTATTCTAAGCTCGTCGACGAGACCAAGGTACACAGACAATCCTTTTTTTTTTTTTTTTTTTTTTTTTTCTTTTTTTCTGTTATCATCTATTTTTCTACAAGGGTTTGTCCCCTTTTTGCGCCCTGTTGCTTGTATTGTTTATGGCTTTGTCAATTTTTGTTAAATTAGGGGTTGGATCAGGTTTTGTTAAATTAGGTATTCATTCGTGTGATGTGGAATTGTTTTAAGAATTTTTTCAATCGATCCATTAAGTTCTACAATCTGCATTTGCTTGAGAATGATATTCGTTTGGCTGATTTTAGTTTTTCAGTGATTCATAACAATCTTATGTAGTATACATACATATTCTGTAACAATGTTGATATGTGGAAGAAAATCAAACCGCTCTTGATATGAAATGCTAATAATCCTTTTTTTTTTTGTAGGCTTTTGATCTCACCTGTTTTCCTCGTAGTTGGGTGTGCCACGGCTTTGGTATCTATCCAGAGTTGTTGTGCAAAGAATATAACGAGGACACCTATAATGAAATGATGGGTTTTGCACTTCTCGCACTTAATAGTATCAATGACCAAACTGCGTTCTCCCGGACTGCTGCCACCACTGTATGTATCTATTCAATCCGTATATATCCAAATTATAATCAACAAACGTTTGTGTATCTATAGGTGATATGAATTAGTGTTTGCTTTTCTTTCTCTTATATTATTCCGGCACTACTTTTGAATCTTTGGATGTTAAAGGATCTATGCAATTTCATTGGTGCAGTTACAATGTGGTGTTACTTGAAACTATCTCGATAGATGGAAATTGGCAGATGGTAATTGATGATAGCTGAGATATATCAAATATTATTAGTATTTTTTTGATTTGTTTCAAATATTATGCTAGTATGTGGCCCCCGTATAATAGTAACGTATTGCAGAATGGCAGAAGATACAAGTTCGTGGGTATAAACAAGGCCGCTTTTGTGAGACCCTCTCAGAATATTGTGTCCATGACTGTTGAGGAGATTAGTTCCACTGTTGATGCTCCCAGAACAGAAACTATTGTGGCAGAAGTGTATCTTGATTATGGTGCTGCTAAGGATAAAAAAGTTATGGATTGGATGTTTTATCAGGGCTCGAGTAAAGATGAGATGACTGACAAAAATGACACCCGTATCTTTGTCCTGGCCCCCTATGAGGTTGATTCTTTTCGTTTATTGACATCTATACGTATATTTTGGATATTGATTTTTTATCTCCTTGTTAATGTGTCGATCCAATTTTTTTTTTCCTGATTCTAATGGTTGTGTGTAATAGAAGGAGAAGAAGAAAAAGAAGAGTAGACATGAAAAAAGGCAGAACACACAGAGTCGGAGTAGCACGGAGATGGAACATATCGAATATAGTGACGACGACGACGAAATGTGTTGATGCTAAGTCCGGTCTGTAGCTTGGGATTATTACTTATTTGCTTTGGATGTTTTTTTGTTTTGTTTTTGTTTTGTTTTGGCTTTTTTTTTTTTCCTCCCCTTTCCAGAGTATATATGTATACTGAGGTGGGATGAGATGAGATGACCAATAAGTTACCTCTTTTTGATATAAGCATTGTTAAGGAATGATGCAAGTTGGAAGGTTTTTTCCAAGGCTGGTTATTGTTATTTTCCTTTCCTGTTCATTTGTTATTATTGCATCATTTTTGTGAGGATGGTTTTTAGATGAATGAGATTTCCTGTTTTAAAATCATGTTTTAATTCATGTTTCGTTTCATTCTATTGAATGAATGACGCGTATGCCGTATCCATGGATCATAAGGATGTTACAATTATACATGTGCCATTGAAAAGGTCCTAATCCAGAAATGCACCTAAGCATTAGTCTTCTTCAAGGTAATTTGATACTCACAGTTAGTAGGCACGCTACACATTTTGTCATCGTTGTTTTCAACGTGTTTTTCCTCCATGCTACTCTGACTCGAGCCAATGTTCTGGCTTTTAAGTAACACAGTTGTCTTTCTCTACATCATTCCTTTGTGTGTTCCCCACATTTTTATCTCATCGTTTTCTACTTCAAATGTGTTGTAATTTGTAGTTTGATTGTCTTCCATTGATGCGTTCACGAGTATAGTTTTTTTGCATTGTTTACACGACAGAGACGTCAGTGAGGCACTCAACTCGAGCCCGAACAAAGCCACATAAGTAAATATTCAAATCATATATATAAAAAAAGTCCATTGTTAAATCAACTTTGGACAAAGCCACATAAGTAAATATTCAAATCATATATATAAAAAAAGTCCATTGTTAAATCAACTTTATGTAATGAATTTAATTGACTTTATTCATGTATGTGGGCGTGTACAAAAGTACTAGCTAACCTAACAAACATGTTGGTTGATAATTTAAACGTTATAGTCCTGTCCTGAGAGCTCCAAGCGAGTCGAGCTGAGTCAAACATTGGCCTTATCGAGCAAGATTGAATTTATGAGACCGGGGCTCGACTCGATAAAAAAGTACAATCGCTTGAGTTCGGCCCGAAAATTTGTAAGTGGAAAAATAAAATTACCATTAAGCACATATGTTATTTTATTGTAATATACATATATATGGGGTATTTTAGTGATTCAACATATATCTCGAGCTGCTCGCCAATACTAAATATGGGCACGAGCTCTAATCAATATAGTGATTACATTATTTATTACATTTATGCAATTAATATAGTGATTCATATGCAATCAAATAGTTGTGTACTATTTATTTTAACGAATGATTAAATTTTAAAACATGATAACATTATGTAACTTTAATTTTAGTATTATAAGCATAAATATAACTCATAATACTCTATGTTTAAAATTTAATATTATTATCTAACTTAAAATTTTAATATTATATGCATATAAATACTTATAATACTATATTTATATCTGTTCAAATGCACAAGAGTAGAATATTAGTAGGAAGTTATATTAAAACAAAAATTAATGTTCATAAATATAATTTTAAATATTCAGTATATTTATGGATAATTTCAAGTCTAATTATTTGTAAGTTGAAAGTAAATTAAAAATTATTCAAGTCAATTCACCAACATAAAATTTTGCTCAAGTCATTTCGCAAAAAAAAAAAATCTATATATATATAAAGAGGTTGTTGGAAAAATACATTAATAGAAAATTTGACCAAATAAAAACAATATTTGACTTACTATTAATGAAAAGTTCAAAAAAACACATGTGAATCTTAAGTAACAAAATCTAAATCCTATTTTTTTGGTAACAAATTTGGAGATTCTTATGGCAAAATTTGAATCCCATTTTTTTCGTATCATATTTTATTGTTTTAACCAAAATTTAAATCATCTTTTTTGGTAACAAATTTAGAGATTCTTATGCAAAAAATATGTCAATTATTTATGAAAACAATTCTAAATACAAATTAATTTAAAAACCGTGCAAATTGGATACAAATTTAGGAAGCAAATAGTTGTATAATTCTTAATCAATTCTTCCAATCTTATTGAATACTTTTTTTTTTAAAAAAAATTGTGTAAATTGGATAAAGTCACGTGCAATTTTTATTTTAAAATAAAATTGATATTTGGACGGGATGTATATTCAAAATTGTGTCCACAATTGTTGGAAACAAAAGCGGTTCATCATTGATATTTAACGTTACCTTATCCAATTATTTAGGAAAAATTGTGTGCAACTTTTTAAAATTTAAATGCATCGATTTTTTTGGATTCTTATGTTTTTTCTTAACCATGTTTTACGGAGATTTTGGTAAGTTCATATCATTTTCTTTAGAAAAAAAACAATTGCATAAACATTAACAATTTATTTTAATTTTTTATTAAAATTATTTTCAATTCAATTTGTTTGGTACAAAAATCGGTGCAATGTTAGCAAAATTCGGTTGCATTTTTAGGAAAAATTGAAGATTTTTTTATTTGATTTAAAAAAATATTCGAATAAATTTGTTTGATAAAAAAATCGATTTATTGGTAGGAAAATCAGTTTCATTTCCAAGAGTAACTAATGATTCTTTTCAATTTTTCTTAATTGGAATTTAGAATTAGATTTAAATAAATAATGAGTGAAAATCCCTAAAAAATTCTACTTTTGTTTCTACTTTAATATTGTTTAATAAATAAGATCCTTTAATTTTTTTTAAAAAAATTTATTAACTAATAACTAATAATATGCAACTTTGGATAAATTCGAACACCTATGTAGTAGTTTACGTGACAAAGAATCAAATCAATAATGTTGTACATAAGGAAGTGTTTAATAACATATAAATTTCATTTTCATGAAATTTTTAATGGCACGAGACAATTTAAATACAAAAATACCTTTTAAAAAATAAATAGGTAATAAATGTTCTCGTGGATCGCACGGGTACCGTACTAGTTATACATAAGGAGATGGTCATTTGAACAAAAAATTTATTGTGAAAAAATCATTTCGCCGAAAGGAAAAACGGCGGGTAATTGGAGAGTTGTTGATTATTGGAGCGACGAGAGCGAAGGGAGAGAGGAAGCATTGAATGCCCTTCTGATGTAAACAATATCGAAGATCCCCAGGAGACCGAGGTTTGTCTTCGTTTTTCAGTTATTCTGATTCTGTATGATCTGATTCATTCATTCGTTATTGGGTATTTCGTGATCTCCTACTCCAGTTAGAGAATTGATTTAAGATTCTTGTTTAATCCGTATTCGAATTGAAGCAAGAAACGATGGGAGATAAGACAAGGGGAAACACGGGGAGTGATGATGTAGAGGATGATGACCTTGAATACACCACCGACAGTGACTGCGACTTGGAGAACGACTGCTGCGCGGATGGTGGTGAATACGGCAAAATTCTCATGAAATTCGACAATCCGGAGAAGTATGCTGCTTTGTGCAAGCTCGTCGACGAACAAGGTGAACCCTAACAATCTTGTTTCTCCATTTATTTTAATACAATGATTTTTTTTTCCTCTTATCATTTGTTTGCTCCCCCCCTCTCTTTTTCTCTTCCTGTCTGTGTGATTTGTGCGTGTGTGTTTGGTTGAGTCCATTTTTGTTAATTTGGGAATTGGATCAGGTTTTTCTTATGCCAAAGATAGTAGTATTCATTCATGTGATTGGGAATTGATAAGGATTTTCTTGATGTTTTACAATCTGCATATATATGAGGCGTAATCTTTGGTAAATTGTTTCCTAATGCTTATAGGAAAGAAGGGTGCTTTCAGTATCCTTTATCCTTGCTTTAGAAAGTAATTGTTTTGGATGTGTATATATGTACTTTGTCCTTTTTTTTTTTATGTTATATATTTGTACTTTCTCTTATATGATTCCGTACTCCTTTTGAAATGCTTTAGATGTTATGGAATCTTTGTGATTTCATTGGTTTCAGTTAGAATGTGGTGTTAATGCAACTCTATCAAGAGATGGAAATTTGCTAGGTGGTAATTCATAGTTGATATGAGGTCGATTCTTTTCTTTTATTGATTATATGTATATTTATTTTGGATATTGATTTTTTTATCTCTTGTTTAAGTAATTGTGTTGATCCAAATTTTTTCCAAGTTCTAACGGGATTTGTATGTTATAGAAAAAGAAGAAGAAGAGACATGGAAAAAGGCAGAACACACAGAATCAGAGTATCATGGAGATTGGACACATTGAAGGTAGTGACGACGACGACATGGAGTGATGCTAAGTCCCGTCTGTAGCTTGAGATTATTACTTATTTGCTTTGGTTTATTTTATGTTGATTTTTAGTTATTTATTTAACGTATGTGTGAGTCGTAGCTTGGTTATGTTACAGTGTTGGTAACTTGTGGAATTTTTCCGTCTAGTTTATTAGAGTTTCCTCTAATCTATTTACGTTAATTTTATTAACGCTTTCTAGGATTTTATAAGGTTTTGCAGCGATATCATTCGTTTTTACAAATAAGGTATCAAGAACATCAGTATTTCTACTTGTCTTCTTGAGTTTCTCAATAATTAAATCTTGATTATCTTGAAGTTTCTCTATATTATTATTTGCCCAAAGTTGTGTTGATTGTCTTGCTCATTTTCTAAGGATCTAGAGTATTGATTTTCGTGGATTGCCTTGTATACCAACTCAGTTTCTGCCAAATTTAATTTTTATAAATGGCTGAACTTTCGTTTTATCCAATTTCTTACTTTATCTTTGTTATAACTCATTATATATTTTAGTCCTAATTCCTTACTGATTTCTTGAATTTTTTTGTTCAATATTATTCAGTTTATTATTAGGTTGTATGATTACTTTTGTGAAAGCATCAATTTTTTAAACATTAGATTTTTCTTTATCATTTATTTTGAATAATGTAATCTATTTTGGGTTTAACAAATAGACTCAATTCTTTGTATTTGAAAGATCATTTAGGAGTTTTCAACTTTAATATTGGTGAGATTAACTTATCAATTTCAATTTTGTCGTGAGGTTTAAACGATAAGCTATAGTGATTGTTATTCAGTGCATAGTTGATTTTTCATGTTACTGAAAACGAATGATTTTCAACTTTCATGATCTTTCTTATCATATTCCAACACGGATTCGTCTAGATTATTATCTAATAAAGATATTTCAACATGGTAGTTTAGGTTAAACTTAATATTTTTAATTTCCACTTCCTTATGTTATCAAAGCATCTGAGTAATTTTTCATTCTACTATCGATAGTTATATCTATCCTTATATTGTAAGTTAATTTAAAAATCATTTGTATATTAGAAGCTGTAAGTAATAAATCGTACTTCTAGCTTATGCTTTCATTCCTTTCAATGCTGAAACTATTTGTCCTTTACATAACTGGAATGACAACATTTCCCTCTGTTTGATATGTATCTATTACTTCTTTTCCAAAAATAATTGCAAAGAGTAATTTTTTTTTTTTGAGAGGTTAAATTATTTAGTTTCTTTATCATTCCTTTATTTATGAAGTTATGATTTTTCTTTAAATCATGATTTGGTGATCCCAACTTATGTGCATCTATCAGAGCTTCACTTAAGTAGCCCGACTTTCTTTCTTTGTGAAATAATCTAAGATATTATTTTCTTTATTTATGATACACCACCTTATAACAAGACTCTGATACCATTTTAGGATTTTTAGTAAATACTTAAAGTTTTAGTGAATTTTTTCTTATTTTTGTGGATTTTTAGTAAAAGCTTAATGGCATGATTGGTATGATGGAATGAAATTTCGTAGGAATGGAATGAATTGCAGAATGAAATGATTATGGGAATGGAATGAAACATATTTTGTCATTGATGCGTTCGGCATGCAGAAGGAATAGGACTGGAATGGAATGACATTATTATTTTTTATTATAAAAATAAATAAAAGCTTTTTTTAAAAAAATAATATACTTTTAATAAATTATATATAAATGATTTTTCAATAATATATAAAAATTCAATAATATATTTTTAATAATATATAAAATTAAAATAATATATTGTTTAATAATACAAAAAATAATATATTTTTAATAATATATAAAAAATAATATACTTTTATATTATATATAAAAAATAATATATTCTTAAAAGTAATATATTTTTATTATTTATAAAATAAAATATTTTTAATAATTTTTAAAAATAAAAAGTAATATATGTTTTATAATTTATATTATATTTTATAATTCAACAGTAAAAAAAAGTAAGTTTTCAATTTTTTATTTGAATTTATTTTTTAAAATAATAGATTTTTAATAATAATTAAAAATAAAAAGTAATATATTTTTAATATTTTTCAATAAATATTTTTAATAATATGTTATTTATGGTAATATATTTTTAATATATAAAAATAACATATTTTTAATAATATATAAAAATAAAATAATATATTTTTAAATTATATATAAATGCTTATTTTTAGTTTTATTTTTATATAAGTATTTAATATATCTAATTAAAAAATAAATAAAAGTAAGTTTTTAATTTTTTTATTTGAATTTTTTTTTTAAAAATAATTTGATTTAATATATTTTAATCATGATTTATAATATATATTATATATTTATTTATTATTATTATTTGTTAATTTTATTTTTTGAAAAATTGATTCCTACACAAATGTGAATGAGAAAACCTTCCATTTACTATGGAATGGCTAATCCCATGGAGATGGTTTTGCCATTCCCATTGGAATGGTCATTCCTTCCAAAATATATACCAATCATGGGATAAAGAATGAGTAAGGGAATGATCATTCCATTCTAATGTCATTCCTTCATACCAATCATGCCATAAGAGCCTTTTTGACTATGTTTATCAGTGACCAAGGTATTGAGTCACCAACATAATGAAAAAAAAAAAATCATAAAAAATGCGTGACCCAGCACAACCGATGAGAGAGACATGAGACACTTGTCCAAGTTTTATTGGACAAATTTATTTTTAAATAAGATAAAGATAATTTATATTATTAAGTTTATAAAAAAATAAAAAAATACCAAAATTTATTTATTTATACAAAGATCAAATTCCACATTTTATAGGTTTTAGAACAAAATTCCAATTTTTCTATTTGGTATAGTAATTGACAAGTGATTTCATTCAAACTAATTGTAACTAGTTTAACTAATTTTAATACTTTATTTCAAAATTTGTAATTTTAATTATTAATTGAGTTCGTAATTTTTTTAATTATATGGTCCGCATTCCCACTAATAGAAAGTGGTCTTCGGGATCCCAAGCAAACCCCGTGGACCGTTGCCCATCAGTTGCACTATCGTGTGCCTAGGTACACCTTGCTAGGTGTGCCAGGACAGTATTACACGCGCTCCTCATTCTCAAAAAGCTCAAAAAGCTAGAAAATTTAGAAGGTGTAGTGCACTCTCCCAATTTTTCTTTTTTAATGAAAAAATGAGACATATTACATAAATTAAAATATCATTAATTATTTATATTAAAAAAATAAAATAAAAATACCAAAATTCATAATTTTTCATTATCTATAAATAGAGACCACATTTGATAGGTTTTTGAACACAACTAATTTTCGTTTTTTGGTAACATGTTCACCTTATTGTGTATGTAAGATGTTCATTTTATTCTATAACATGTTCATTTTATTATGTAACATGTTCATCTTATTCTATAACATGTTCATTTTATTATGTAACATGTTCATTTTATTCTATAACATGTTCATCTAATTTTCATCTGTGAAAATGTAACATTTTCATCTTATTAGAGAAGATTTTGGTTTGTGAAGGTGGAGGATATTCGATCGAAAGACTAATTTATGAAATTTCTTTTACATTCTACTAGTTTTTCACTTTCATTCCCTATAGTATTACTATTGCATAAATTTGAGTTCTTATATGTAGATTATGGTTTATTATTTCAGGGCGGGGGTGCTTGCATTAAACGAGTGAAAGTCGAGCAAGAAATTGACTAGAATTTTGTGTATCAAGTGGAAATTGGAGAAAATAATGTGAGAGCCCGTGATGTAGATATGGAATCTAAACATGTCCATCTTATTCTATAACATGTTTATTTTATTATGTAACATGTTCATCTTATTCTATAATATGTTCATTTTATTATGTAACATGTTCATCTTATCGTATAACATGTTCATTTTATTATGTAACATGTTCATCTTATTTTATAACATGTTCATCTAAATTTCATATGTGAAAAATGTAACATTTTCATCTTATTAGAGAGGATTTTGGTTTGTGAAGGTGGAGGATATTCGATCGAAAGACTAATTTATGAAATTTATTTTACATTCTACTAGTTTTTCACTTTCATTCCCTATAGTATGACTATTGCATAAATTTGAGTTCTTATCTGTAGATTATGGTTTATTATTTCAGGGCGGAGATGCTTGCATTAAACGAGTGAAAGTCGAGCAAGAAATTGACCAGAATTTTATATATGAAGTGGAAATTGGAGAAAATAATGTGAGAGCCCGTGATTTAGATATGGAATCTAAACATGTCCATCTTATTCTATAACATGTTTATTTTATTATGTAACATGTTCATCTTATTCTATAACATGTTCATTTTATTATGTAACATGTTCATCTTATCGTATAACATGTTTATTTTATTATGTAACATGTTCATCTTATTTTATAACATGTTCATCTAAATTTCATATGTGAAAAATGTAACATTTTCATCTTATTAGAGAGGATTTTGGTTTGTGAAGGTGGAGAATATTCGATCGAAAGACTAATTTATGGAATTTCTTTTACATTCTACTAGTTTTTCACTTTCATTCCCTATTGCATAAATTTGAGTTCTTATCTGTAGATTATGGTTTATTATTTCAGGGCGGAGATGCTTGCATTAAACGAGTGAAAGTCGAGCAAGAAATTGACCAGAATTTTATATATGAAGTGGAAATTGGAGAAAATAATGTGAGAGCCCGTGATGTAGATATGGAATCTAAACATGTCCATCTTATTCTATAACATGTTTATTTTATTATGTAACATGTTCATCTTATTCTATAACATGTTCATTTTATTATGTAACATGTTCATTTTATCGTATAATATGTTCATTTTATTATGTAACATGTTCATCTTATTTTATAACATGTTCATCTAAATTTCATATGTGAAGAATGTAACATTTTCATCTTATTAGAGAGGATTTTGGTTTGTGAAGGTGGAGGATATTCGATCGAAAGACTAATTTATGAAATTTATTTTACATTCTACTTGTTTTTCACTTTCATTCCCTATAGTATGACTATTGCATAAATTTGAGTTCTTATCTGTAGATTATGGTTTATTATTTCAGGGCGGAGATGGTTGCATTAAACGAGTGAAAGTCGAGCAAGAAATTGACCAGAATTTTATATATGAAGTGGAAATTTGAGAAAATAATGTGAGAGCCCATGATGTAGATATGGAATCTAAACATGTCCATCTTATTCTATAACATGTTTATTTTATTATGTAACATGTTCATCTTATTCTATAACATGTTCATTTTATTATGTAACATGTTCATCTTATCGTATAACATGTTCATTTTATTATGTAACATGTTCATCTTATTTTATAACATGTTCATCTAAATTTCATATGTGAAAA